TACCAGGTATCTATTATGCACATTTAAAAATCCCCCTCTTTAGAAAAATCTCCTTAAACCCCAGTACAAGGAGGGGGGACATTCCCCTTAAACCTGAAAAGTTTGAGAAAACACTGGTAACTTGTAAATAACTTTTTTCGGTTAATGAGGATGCCTTGTCCTATTCCTGTTCATTCCTCATTGTTAATTCAATGTATGCTCTAACTGATTTTTAAAAATATTATTGTTTAATTCATCAGATTATGCAGAGCATGAATAAGGATGACATGTCACGTTGTCTTAGATTGACAGATGGTATACCAGTATTGTCAAATATAGGTTTTTATGAAGATGACATTGATGAAGGAATTGTTAACAGAAAGGATGAACTAGTGAAAGCCATTATGCAGTACTACCTCATTGCCAATGAAATTGCAGAAATAAATCAATTTGAAGTGAATAATGTATGGAGTTTTTTATGAAGTGAGTAAAATTTGTTTTGAAACATCTTCCATAGGAATCAATGTAAAAGCATTATTAAATAGAGTGCAAATACAAATGCATTTTACGTTCAAATATATGTGTACAACCATCATTAGCCCACTCACCAATACATATCATTATTTCAGCACATGTCATTCAACAAGTTTTTGAAATATAGTGGGATGTTCCTGCCACAGGAATGTTAAATTGCTATAAAAAAGTGTTTTTCATCAATTGTCATTGTATTTTCAGGGGGAAAATAGTACCCGTAACTTTTTTTATTTAAGAGTTTGAATGAGTGACATCATAACCTTTCTAGTGAATTAGATGGAAACAAACTTTATTTTGAATGGTAGTAAACTACCTTAACATTAATTGCCAGGAGGCATGTAGGAGATGCATGTCTGGCATAAAATGAAAAAAATCAGCCATCTTGGGGCAGATTTATAAATTCAAAGTGACATGCATAAAATTCCCATAATGGTTATCCTTCCTTCCAAGTTTAAAAAGAATCGGACAACACGTACATGCCCAAACGCTGGTTCCAAAGATGCATTTTCACAAACAAATTGGCCGCCAGTCGGCCATCTTTGATTCAACCATGAAATCATTGCACATGGATAGGTCACAGATAAGGTGCTAGGTATGTGTGAAGTTTGAAGAGAATCTGAGATACAAGTCAACAACAGCACTTACACACATACGGACGGACAAATGGATGACAACAAATATTGCTTGTACGGATGTATGCTCTGATGTTTAACCCATTTCGTTCAAACGGGAACAAGCAGTCTGTCAGCAGAAATAGCTCTGCGGTTTGACCCCAAAAGAAAGGCCAAAAATGAAAAGAGCAAAATCTGAGAAAGACCAAATAAAAGAGTACATTTATCTACAATTTGAAGGCATCCTGATACTTATTTTCGATTTTGATCAACAAGGTCAAAATAATATCTAAAAATAAGAAATATCTACTCAAAATGAAAAAAATCGGGGAGTGATTCATTCACCCAAGGTAAATATATATGAATTGTGGTTTTGCTGGAGTAAAAAATACAAAAGTTCATGAACAACAGACAGATTGATGTAGACAACCAATCAGTAACATTAACAAATCCACTCTCAATTTTGATTAATAGCAGATATATGGGTGATAATGACTGCATGCGTACAGGGCACAGAAAAACAACTCAGCAACCTCAATAATAATCGTGCAGGGCTTAGATTACTGATTATAACAAATATTTTATTGGCAAGTAACATCAAACAGTTGTGTAAATAACTTTTTTAGAGCTATAGTCTGCAATATCTAAATGTTTCTTAGGATATTAAAAGATGTGAAATTTGGTTTTTGATATTGCTAATGTTCATAAAGAAAACGCCAAACATAAAAAGGAAAACATAACTCCTTCTAAAATGTTAACCATGTTAGAACAAACTTCCCATTGTTATCTGATCTTAAGATCTATGACCTCATTATATTGTGAAACAATAGATAGTAACCGATAGCAGCAGATGCATGGGCAGTCAATGTCAAGAACCCATCATATATTACCATACTTCACATACCAACTCTTAGGAGAAAAACAAAAATGTTACCACAGTTAAAAAATGGACTTTTTCATCAAAATCTTGAAAATCATTTGAACAAATAATCACCAAATTCCAAGTAAAATCAAAATTTCGAATTTAACAAAGATAATACATTAGTTGATATCATATGTCAGATTGTAGAAAATTCAACTAAAATTTTTTGAGTCAATGAGCTCACAAAACCACTGTTAACGACGACAGACAACATTCAATCAACCCATTCCTATACCTACCCCCCCTCCAAAATGTGTCCATAAGCTAGGCACACAATTAAACTTGTCAAGACCTCACTCATTGACGATACCATATTTTCAGTGCACAAATGCAATGTTTGGTGTGTTTATATTGGTGATGTGACGATCTTTCCATCATTGTGGACATATGGATCAATACATCTTCTCAGCTCTAAATAATCTGCATTACTTAAAGGTACATTTACATGTTGTAGTTGTCTTTGTAA